TAAAGCCCTAAACCCTAAACCAGCAGAGGCGGCAGATCTGTCGCTGGGCCTCACACTGGCGGCTCCCCGCCGGGATCCGGCCAGCTTGCAGTGGCAACATGCCTGCGAAGGGTTTCGGTCTAGGGGTGTAGGGTTTTGGGTTTAGGGTTCAGGGTTTAGGGTTCTTTGGAGTTTAGGGTTTAGGGGTTTAGGAGTTCAGGGGTTTAGGGGTTTCGGGGTGTAGGGTTTTGGGTTTAGGGTTCAGGGTCATAAACGGACTTCCTTAAGGCCTTGAGTCCTAAACCATAAACCCTGAACGCCGGGATCTCTCAGCGTCCTAGACTAGGTGGCACAAACTTTTAAAGTCCCCTTTATGGTTCCTATATTTAAGTGCCCAAAACTACAACCCAGCAGAATTTGGGGGCGTTTCGTACTTAGGCTGACGGGTCAGGATGTATTGGCTTCAGGCCCTCAGTCAAGGGCTGTGGGGTTTAGGGTTTAGAATACAGGATTTAGGGTTTAGGGTTTGGGGTGTGGGGTTTAGGGTTTCGTGTTTTCGGCCTGGGGTTTGGTAGGGTTTGGGGTGGGTTCAGGTCTAGGTGAAGAACATATGCATATCTGGCTTCAGGCCGATGTTAAGGCCTCTTGCACCTCCTACACCACCATGCTGTTGTCCCAGTAAGGTTTCTATACAGAAGCCCCAAAAGCCTGAACCCTAGACGGCTTTTGAGACCCCAAACCATCCCAAAACACCCAAACCCAAAAACACACCCTCGAACCCTAAAGCCACAAACCCCTAAACCTTGAACCCTGGGTTCCCCGACCCTCAACCAATGACCGGAAAAGTAACCCTTATGTGCCATAACCCTAAACCCTAAACCCTAACCCCTTATATACCATGACCCTGATGGAGCCCCTACCCTTATGGAACCCTGAATGTGGAATCTCTCGCCCGGACCGAGGCTTCTTCAGGGCGTGGCCGTGGACGCGACAGCCGAGGCAAATCTTCAAGACGGAGGGTCTCAGGTGTTTGGGCTATGGGGTTAGGGTATGGGGTTGGGGTTTAGGGTTTAGGGTTTAGGGTTACGGGTTTTGGGTTATGGGGTTAGTGTATGGGGTTGGATTTTTTCTGGTAGTTGAGGATTGAGGGTCGAGGGTTTAGGGTTCAACATCTATCTTGAGGTAGCCGCTAGAGCACTACTTAGTTTCGGGTTTAAAGGGTTGAGGGTTTAGCAAGCTGTCTCACCATCTTCTTGAACATACTGAACCTTGGGTGTAAGGTTTAGGGTTTATTGCTAACCTCGAGGTAGCCACCTTAACTTGCCTGCTATCGAGCCGGTAAGCCTAGCAAGTATCCCAGCAGGTGCTTTACCCCAAACCTTAAACCCTCAACTCTACGCCCTCGTCGCAGGCCCTGGGCTGTTATCATCTGCCAGAGCTGCTAGTCACGGGTCCGTCATTTCCGCACCCAAGGCCGCGCTCTGCCAACCCCCCCGCCCCCCCCCATGCCCCTCAATCGGGAAGATACCTCATGCCCCTTAAGGATCCTTCAGGGCTTACTTCTACCTGTGTACGTTATTCCCCCCTGGAAGCCCTGAAAGTTAAGCCCTAAGCCCTAACCCTGAGCCCTATAAGCCCTAAGCCCTAGACTCTAAACCCTAAACCCTGAACCCCAAGCCCTACTTTAAACCCTAAGCCCTAAACTCTAAACCCTAAACCCTGAACCCTAAGCCCTAAACTTTAAGCCCTAAGCCCTGAACCCCAAGCCCTAAACCCCAAGCCCTAGAAACCCAACAGCAGGAGGAGCCTTCCTTGGTCGCCCTGTGTGTTCTCCTCATCTCGGAGACCTCCCTGGTGCCGGGCTCGTGGCTTAGGGCTCCTTTAAAGGCTTAGGGTTTAGGGTTTGAAGGGTGCTATGGTTCTACAAGGGTATGGGCTTGGGGTTTAGGGTTTGAAGGGTGCTATGGTTCTATAAGGGGGTTCCCTCTACGGGTATTATGGTTCCATAATGAGGTTACCTTTAGGGGCTCCTTTAAGGGTTCCGTAAAGGCTTCCTCTGAGGGTTCGGTTAAGGCTTCCTGCACGGGGCTCCTTCACGGGTTTCGGGTTGGGGTCTTAAGGGCTCAGGGTTTGGGGGTATGAGGAGTATTGTAGTAAGGGCTCTTATTCAGGATTCTGCAAAGCTTCTATAGTTCTCCAAATGAGGGTCCTTTTCGGATCCCCAATATAGTACGGCACCCTTATAAAAAGGGCCCCAAAAGGGACCCTAGTTCAGACAACTACCCATATAGAACCTCTTATAGTACCCTAAACCCTAAACCCTAAACCCCTTATAATACTGAAACCCTACTCTAGAAGTAAGGTTTGAGGGCCTGGGGAGCCCTCTTATGGCGCGCGGCGTACTCCGCGCGAAGAGGGTCTTCAGTCTCTGAGTGCTTTCTTGGTGGCTCGGGATGGAGGGTTTTGGGATCATGTCTAGGGTTCAGGGTTTGGGTTTGGGGGTCTAGGCTTCGGGTTGAGGGTTTTAGGGTTGAGGGTTTAGGGTTGAGGGGTTTAGGGTTGAGGGTTTCAGGGTTGAGGGTTTTAGGGTTGAGAGTTTTAGGGTTTAGGGCTTTAGGGTTCAGAGTTTTGGGGTTTAGGGTTGAGGGATTTAGGGTTGAGAGTTTTAGGTTTTAGGGTTTTAGGGTTGGTTAGGCTTGGGATTTAAGGATTGGGGCGTATCAAGTTTGCTGAACGTCTGTTAGGGACCCCTTTGCATCTTGGGAACCCTCTACCGCCTGTGCCAAAGCCTAGACGCTCTGAGCCCCAGACGCCAAGCCCCAAACGCTAAACTTCAAGCCGCATAAACCACTCTTTGAGAAGGAGCCCTTTAAACGGACCCTTCAAAATGGAGCCCCTTAAAACGGACCCTTCAAAATGGAGCCCTTTAAAGGGCGATCTCCAAAGGACCCTTGAACCTAAGCCCCTTAACCGCAAGGGTTCCTTATAGAGTTCTATGAGCTTTCTTTCAGAACTCCTTTAAACTCTGTCCTTGTTGGGTTTTTGTTACAATGAAAAAAAGCAAATAAGGCTTAAAAATGGCCATTCTTAATATAGCCCCTTTAAAGGGCTCCTTTAAAGGGACATGCGGAAGCCCCAGAGGCCTTTAGCCCCAGGGGTTTCTGCCTCTGAGGTGCACTACACCCCGAGGCCCAAGGACTCAGTGGCCGCTCCAGCGCTTTCGGCTGAAAGGCTCAGGGTTTAGGGTTTTAGGGTTCAGGGTTCAGGGTTTAGGGGTTTAGGGGTTTAGGGGTTTACGGTTTAGGGTTATGGTTTGACGGCTACTTTGTTTTTTCTGCAGGAGCTTGTTTTTGGTTCTAGTAGGGCTTGCAACGACGAGTTTGCGAGGTTCTCAAAATTTGCTTGGGCTTTAGAAAGCCTGTCAGGGTTCTGTGGGGCTTTAGGCTATGTGGTGTACTTAGTGGGTGGGCTTGTGACATAGGGACTGGGGGTTCCGAGTTGACAAACTGTTTCCAATGTCTGGAGGATCGGTTTTTGTTTGTCTCCAGAGAATCTCCACGCAACTACAACCTCAAAGCAATGCCATTAAGCCCAAAGCCCTGAAGCCCAAAGCCCTAAACCCGTAAACGCTAGACCCAGAGCCCTCAAACCCTAAACCCTAAACCCCAAAACTCTAAAACTCTAAAACCCTAAACTGCCCTAAAGCCCCTGGATCCGCAGCGCCCAGGTCCCGGAACCCTCGGGCGATGCCGTTGTCGATGAGAAGCCGCTCGGGGCCAGTGGAATTAGGGTTTAGGGTACAGCTTAGGCTTTCGAACCGATATTTTGGGTTTAGGGTTTAGGGTAAGGGTACAAACACTCAAAGTTTTCCTGCCTTGAGTTCTAACTCCTAAACCCTAAACCCGTTGGCAGACTGCGATGTGTCCAAATCAAGTCAACTGATGTCCCCAAAGCCCGAAACTCTCTCAATCTACCTTCATAGAACTCTTATATATCTAAACTCCTTCAATCTACCTTCATAGAACTCTTATATATCTAAACTCATCTACCTTCATAGAACTCTTATATGTCTAAACTTGAATCTAAACCCTTACAGGAACCCTGAGCGGAACGCTAAATGCCAGACTCTATGGTTCCCCCTTAAAGGAACCCTGAAAGGATACCCTTAAAGGAACCCCCAAAGCACATCTTTGAAGGATACCTTTAAAGCATACCCTCAAAGGAGCCCCTTTAAGGATACCTTTAAGGGAGCCCTTGAAGGCCTAAATCAATTTAGGTATTGGAAGCGCCGCTACAACTACTTCGCCCGCTTCGACGAGGGAGTTCGGATGGACGCAGGAGTCTGTGCCTAGGGCTTATGCACTTAGGGTTATTCTTCAACCCTAAACCCTAAACCCTAATACCGGTGAATGGTTGCTGTTGTCTGTTTTGTCATTGCTAATGTAGGGGTCTAAACAGTTAGCGATACTGTTTTGGGGGTTCCTTATTATAATTGTAGTATAATGGGCTCCAAAACCCTATTCTAATTATTAAGGCCCCTATATTAGAGGTTTAGGTTCCTTATGATAATAATACTAAAAAAGGGGCCCAACACCCTATTCTAATTACTAAGGCCCCTATATTATGTCTTCCTTTTTGCAGGAGCCTGGTTTCTAATTATTAAGGCCCCTATATTATGTCTTCCTTTTTGCAGGAGCCTGGTTCGAGGTCACCCCAGAGTCTGTCGCGCGGCACATCGCGGATCGCCTGAGCTTCGACCGGGTGGTGCCTGGGTTGAGACTAAGGGTTTAGGGTTTAGGGTTTAGGGTAAGGTGCAGAGATTACAGGGTTGCATCTCGAGTTTCATATATTCTTGTCCAGCAGTTGTTGTGTGAGGCTGGGGTTGCAGGTTTAGTTTCTGGAGTTTAGGCTTCAGTTTTCATGCGCAGGAGGTTTTGAGGATAGTTTTCGGGTGAGCATGAATAGCGCCCCTGAGTCCTGAGGAATCTTGGTGAGGGTGTGATTGCAGGATCCAAACCCAAAAGCCCAAACCCCCAACCCTGAAGCCACATGTCGTAAGAACTTGAGAATCGCCAAGTTGATCTTGCCCTTAAAAGGACCCTCCACGACACCAATACGGAACCTGAACGTCCTTTTTGAGACGGGGGGTTGTTTGGGATTCCATGTTAGGTTTTAGGATGGTAAGGGCTGCAGGTTATGTAGACTTCAGCCGAGGCGGTTTAGGTTTTGGTGGCCCGCCCTTCAAGCAAGCATGGCCATTCAGCAAGCCGTACCTGAACTCTACTTCAACTCGGGGCGGGTAGACGAGGTTGATGGAACTTGTGGCGTGGGCGGCAACGCGATACAGCCCTTCGGCCAGGATCTGTGCCATCATCATCTTAATAATAACAATCAAGAATCACCACCATCATCATCATCGTCGTCGTCACTGCCATCGTCATCGCCGTCTTCTTTTTTTCTTGTTGTTCTTGCTTGGTTACTCCACACACAGCAGGACCTGCTCTCGTCATGCGTTGCGCGCTGTGCCCGATGCTGCCCAAGCCAATCGACTAGAGCCGCTGCACCTCCCCTAGAGTGCTTGCAGAATACAGGGTCCTGTGGTGTTGAGAGTTTGATAAAGGTTTTGGGCAACATCAAATCCCATCCTTCCGTTCCGAAGCAGTGCAAGACACCCGAATTTTTATCTCACCCTTGAAGGCCTTGCAAGGCCGCAAGCTTGCAACAGCCAAAAAAAGCAAGCAATAGCCTATAAGCTTTTCTAGAACCCTGTAGGCCCTAAGCTGAAGGCTCTAAGCTGAAGGCCCCTGAACTAGGTTCGCGTTGACCTCGCGGAGCGTCGTTGCCGTGGACACGGATCCCGGACGTCTCTCCGACGCGAGGAACGGGATCGGCTAGGGGTTCAGGGTGTAGAGTTTAGGAGTTTGGGGTTTGGGGTTTAGGGTTTAGGGTTTAGGGGGACAAGGTAGTGTAGGGTTTATGTGATTGTATATGCATTGATGCAATTGCAAAAGGGCTTTAGAAAGGTTCAAGCGGGTTTTTGAGGTTTAAAACAGCTTTTAAACCGGGCTTCTCAAACTTGTAGGCATCGATTCTAGGGTTTAAGGCTTTTCTAGGGTTTTTGTTTAGTTTTGGGGGTTTTCCGGTCGTAGGACCACATGGGGTCTTACGACGAAGGGTTTTCTTGTTTTCGGTTTGGAGATTCAGAGTTCGTTTAATGCTTGGGGTTTAGGGTTTCAGGTATAGGGGCTAGGGTTTATAGGTGTTTAGGGTTTAGGGTTTTCAGGGTTTATAGGGTTTAGGGTTTATAGGGTTTAGGTGGTCCCTGGCATACCTGTGGTCTGTTACGTGAGTATAGGGTTGTTGCGCGATGTGTTTGTGCGTGTTGCAGGAAGGTGTCGGGGTATATAGGTATAAATATGTCTGCTGATACCTTATAGGTAGAAACATTGACGATTTTGCTGCTGCATTATCAGCTGCCTACTAGTTTGTCATACTCTTGGGCATGTGTGCCATCACGGTCTATGTTTTGCTTATATTGACGCTTGCAGTTGGTGTGGGATTGTGTTTGGAATGTGACATAGCCATTGCAAGCATCGTAACATCAACTCGCGGGTACCGAGCTGGTGGTCATGATATTTGTGGAGTGATGACGATGATGAAGCTGGTCGCGGCGATTCCGGTGGTCACGATGGCGATGCCATGGTGGTGGTGGTGGTGGGGGGTGGTGGCGGCGGTGCTGGCGGCGGGGGTGGTGGTGTGGGTGGGGTGGTGATGTTGGCGATGACACAGGTTTTCGGTGTTATGTTTGTGGGCTGTCGTTGTTTTCTCTCTGCAGCTGGTTGTCAGACCTCTTGGCTGTCATCCAGACTAGTGTTACTGACATTCTGGCTGTCCTGAACATCAAGACATGTGGCAATTAAGGTCAGTACCCATGCGTGATTCTTCACCATATTGGAGCACTAGTGCGCTTGCTTACGTCCTCCAGCCTAAACCCTAAACCCCCTGCATCTGAATTCAAAATTTCCCCAAAATTTAAGCCCAGAGTGTAAATCAAGCGCACCGCCCAATCCTCGATATCCCACCAGACACAACGCCGGAATCTACGGCGTGGCTGATCGCATCGATTTTGTCCACGACGACTTCGCACATTTCGCGGAGGCTTTGGGCTTGGGATGTTTAGGGTTTAGGGTTTAGGGTTCTGGAAGGGCAGGAGCAGCTTTTGTCTCTTTGTTGGCTTTCGCGCACGACTCGCTGAAACAGCACTTCTTAACAATTTTGCATTTTCGTGCGGAAAGCAAGTAGGTGACAGTAGATTCAAAAGATGATGGTTCAGGGTTTAGCTGTTTAGGGCTTAGAGTTGTGGGTTTAGGGTTAAGTAGGGAGGTTAGGAGTAAGATTATGAGCGGGCTGGCACCGATTAGAGCACTCAACACTCAACCATAGCCGACATAGGTACTAAGTCCCCTGATCCTAAACCCTAAACCCTAAAGCCTAAAGCCTAAACCCTGAAGCCTAAGCCCTAAACGCACTAAGTCCCCTGATCCTTCCAGCGGCCATGTGCAGGTCTACAGTGGGCCCCCGATTGACGCGGTGTTCTTGTCACCGATGCTTGGCTTTGTATGCCTGTGCTGCGTCCCTAAACCCTGAACTCTAAGCCCTAACATTTTGTGGCGTTTTCTGGCCGGCTGGGCACCACAGTCCTTCGGCCCGGCAGCCTAAGCAGACCAACTCCGAGACCCTGAAGCTGCAATCCCAAACCCTCGAACCCAAATGCCAAGCCCATAATTCCCCCCTAAAACCTAAACCCTGGGCCCTAAACTCTTCGAAAGGAACTTCTAAACCCAAGACTTTGCGCCTTGAATCCTTGAAGCTTGACGCCGCGCGAACCCAAAGGCCTTGGGGCGGCCCTGGCCACTTGGAGTCTAACTACTTCTCCTTGCGGGATGTACAGGCGGCTAGCCGAGGAGTCGGGGTTGGAGTTTAGGGTTTAGGGGATAGGGTCTAGTGTTTAGGGTTTAGGGGTTGGGGTCTAGGGTTTNNAGGGTTTAGGGCTTCGGTGTTTCAGGTATTAGGGCTTTAGGGTCTAATCAGGGGTGTTAAGCCGTTCTGTAAGGGCTCTGCGAGGTCTTTAGTTTTTGTAGGGGTGTGGGGTGGGGTAGATCGATGGACAAGTGTGTCCCAGGTCCTTACAAACGACCGCAAGCGAACGCCCTGTGCCTTCACTCTCCACCCACTACGAAGCTCTTAGACTCACCCTGGGCATGTGCCAGGTGCCGGACATCGTGCACCTTTTCGCCGCCGCAGCCAAGCTCAGCCCGCGAGTAGCACTTTACCTGCCCAGGCATCGTCAGTTTGGCAGTGGGATCTTGTTCTCATGTTAGAGTTTAGGGTGTAGTGCTTGGGCTTTAGGGTGTCGGTCTTAGGGTTTTGCTTCCTGCTCTGGTTCCCGTTCAGTTGCAAAGTTCAAGTTTGCTGAGCTACTTGGCGTCCATCGTTTGCAGACATCTTCGCTAGGAGGGCATTGTGTAAGTAGCCACAACGGGTTTGCAAACATGGTGCTTTCTTTCGAGGTTCAAGCCCAAAACCCTAAGCCCTAAA